CAGCTTACGCTGGGGAATATGGGAGTCCCTAATTTTGAATAAAATTGAATAGAAGGAAGATAATGCATTGTCAATAGTGCCTTGTAATAAAAGGTCCTTCCATTGCACTTTTTCTAAGTCCGAACAAATGCGATTATAGTCTCCTTTATTATAATCGTAAATAGTACGTGAAGAGCATTTAAGAGGCTCAGGTTGAACGAATGATAAATTAATATCTAAGGCTGGGTGATAATCATCCTCTGGTACCAATGGGTCGTGACATGCAGAAACAGACACATATTCATTCGACAAAACAAGATCTAGTATTTTGTCGTATTTATTTAAACATAAGTTATATTGATGCAAATAGCAAAGACTAAGCGTGTCAATAAAGTAGGTATATAGATTCAGGGAAGGAGCTGCTGGTACAACGGTGCCACTGGACACGGTCCACGTAATGGTACTCATGTTGAAGTCACCCATAACAACAAAATTTTCACCCGGGTGATTAGATATAATATCATAAAGTTTGTCTAAGTAAGCATGTACTTGAGCAGTAAAGGAAAATCCCCTATTCTGATCACAAAGATACACGGTGCATAAATTAATCTTAATGTATTTATCAATTTTACGTTTTAGCGAAATTGTTAGCCAGATGTCTTCGGCACTGGATTGCCATTCAAGGTTTTCCACCACAGACAGACCACAACGAACAGCTATGAGTACGCCACCACCGCGAGATTGAGCCGTGGCGGAATAATCTCGATCACGCCGAAAAACTAAATATCTGCTATCAAATAATTCACAGTCAAGTATCCCTTCCACCAACCACGTTTCTGTTAACGCGATAATATCATAGTTAGCCAAAGACAATTTTCTAAAAAAACTTTCAGTTATAGTACGAAGACCTCGAACGTTCTGGTAATAAACAGTTATAAAATCGAAGGCGCACTATGTAACGATGACAAAATAAAGGTTATTCTGTGGTTGCACAAGGTATAATTATTTAGTAAAATCAGGAAGTTCCAACGAAAAAATGAGTAAATATAAGTATTCAAGAATGTCAAACTCAGAACTGACGCACAATAGTATTTAACGCATAAAATATTCAAAAGATAAAGTGATTTGTTTATTAGTATTAATCTCATACAATAGCGATAAGTACCATAGAATGCCCTTCTTAATTTATTGATATACAACCATTCGACCCATGATTTGCTATTAACATTTAATCTCAAAAACAATTTCATAATAATATTAACATAATCGAACTCGAAGAAATAAGCAAATATACCTATAGTGTTTGCTAGTAGGCTCAGTGACCTTGGCCATTCAATAGTTGAATGCAACGAAAGATAAGCAAAACAATAAAAACCTTTGTGGTAAAAATAACTTACATTAAATTTACATTTCTTATGAATAGGCGATCGAGCGTCCACAAACTTGTTTGCAAAAGAAGTCAATAATGAACAAAAGAATACGGTAGGCCGGTGCAATACCACTAAGTTTCTCAAACTTTTAAGATTTAGATATTTAATTTTTAGTGAAATTTTTATGCATGCGATGAGTGTAATACTACTGGAATATAATAAATCATATATATAAAGTCTGTAGAAGTCTAATGTATTTTTTTCAAATCTTGGTCTGTTCTTATGATAAAAACCTTCGATGTGGGGTCCCGTCTAATGAAGATCCTCATATGTTTTACCCATACGAATTGATAGTCATGCTCCTTAGCTAATGTCTTCACTTTTGAGAGGAGCACTTTATTCTTGGTAGTTAGGTGAGCGTTTATAAAAAAAATTCCAGGACCTGCGAGACCAATGTCCTTGGGTGATAATGGGTCCTTTAGAGCACGGGCCGCCGCTACGAAATTCTCCTTGATGTACTTACTTATAAATGAAACGACTATGTTTTTGACATTGGTCACTTTAGTCGGCACTCTGTGTATAAAATTAATACTTGTCTTATTTACCGGGTAAGAAATGAGTTGTCCTAAGTTCGACAGTAATTAAAAGAGGTTCTCTCTTTCCTTTATAGGAACACCTTTAATTTCCACATTATTGCTGCGCAACCATTGTTCAGTATCCTGTATTTCTTCCTCGAGTTTATTAGTCAGTAATTTAAGGGAAGCAGTGTCATGGAGACTCTTTTCGATTTTATTTATCTTTTCTTCCATCGCCTGAATTTTAATTGGCAAGTCCGTGCTTAATGACTTGAGCTCGCTTAGATCCTTTCTTATTAGAAGCATTTCAGCCTCAAGGCTCATAAGAGGAGCTAGCTTTAAATTTATATTGGCAAGCTCCCGCATAACAGACTCAAGTGTAACTGTTGGAGAATTCACAGGAGTCTGGACAGACACAGAAGCTAAAGTACCCGAACTCTTGCATCCAGCACATTTCGAGGTCGCCTGACGATCACCCAATTTACGGTAACCCTTCTCCGTTATCCCAGAACAGGGAAAGTCAAAACATTTCATGCATGCCGAGCACTGAGCGCCCTCCGTGATTCCGTCGCCACATCTTCCACACACAAACATCGTAATTTAATATTTATACACTTTTAATAATTATATACTTTTGGGAACCTCTGACAAGAAGAAGCCAACGCGTCTGCTTTGGATAGTGTTAGGACAGAGACTGATTATGTTACTCTTTAGACTAATTTGCTACATATCCAACTAAATACTAGCTGCTTTACTTAACCGTTGTCTTTTAAGCTATATATTAAACACATTTATGAGTATTTTACTGGCTTAAAACATTTAATAACTATTACAATAAAAAGTGTTCATCTTAAAGAACCTAAAGAAGCAGGGTTAGATAGTTTCAGAACGATTCTCATGTCACTATAACTCTACCAAATTTAAAACGTTGCCTAATACCTTCAAACGTTTCGGCAGTACAGCTTTTTAATTTTGTCAGATTATGATTTATTCATAATAGTCAAATACGAAATCTGGGATTGTCATTCATTGTGAATGCTACAGCCTTTCTTGTTGTGTTGCCATTTTCGGTGATTGAGTAATTACTGTTTTATTGTTGTTTTCTTATAGTTGTTATCTTTTTGTTGTAAAGTTTTGCTAAATTACGATTCCGGTGCAGGCCAAGTGGCCTACAACAATTACCTTTGACATTTCATTAAGTAGTTTTCCAATATCTTAATCAATAGTCTAATAATATCTGAGTAAATGTTATAACAGTAATAATAAAAATTTCATTTTGTTTACCTATATCTGGGCATAGATATAACTAAATTATATTCTAATTATATATACTTCTAATTATATCCGGAAGTAGTTTTCCATTGACTTAATCGATAGTCTAATAATATCTAAATAAATATTATAACAGTAATAATATAAATTTCATTTTGTTTACCTTTATTTTCTGAACATAGATATAACTAAATTATATTCTAATTATATACATACAGATAGATAGTTTTATTTCCATGTTGGCTCTCTGGTTCAAAAGATGAATTTAGAAAATGCTAGTCTCATCTCAACCCCGAGAAAATGTAAAATTGCCCAACTCTTTCAGAATACCTAAAGTTCAAAATATCAACAAAACTATTAAAAATATTTTTTAAATTTATCTTGTAAATAAAATGTTCTGCACTGCTGCTTCTGAGATCCTCTTTTTTCTAATGTTATAATGAATGGAGTATAGACTGAACTGATTTTGTATAATATCTTTCGACGTGTGGATATATAATGGCGCATATAGAAATACTGCTCATTAAAAACAATCTAAATTCTGCGCTCCGCGTTTTGTTCTTCATTCCAAACCTGAGTTGGTGGAATCGACTCAATTAAAGTTACGAAACAATAAGTTAGCTCATCACTAATGTTGACATCGTTCCTTTACACGTAACATAATAAATAACTTAAACTTACGATTTAAATAATTTAAATATACTTTGAATGTTACACATTATAAGAAACACGAAACGATGTCTTATTGATTGATTTTCGATACTCGATTTACTTTTATTACGTCAGAAACAAAATTTGAATGAATATCATCGACAAATATCCAAACATCGCTAGTGACATCTAGGTTGATTTCAAGAACTAATTTTTATTTTTTAAATACTTCCTCATTAAGATAATTTTATCGCGAATTAATCGTAACATAAACGATTTGAATTAATTATTTTAAAATGAACTCACGTGCATATTGTCATATAAATCATTCTGTCAAAGAGTTCTTTATTAACTGTGTTGTCATTTTGAACAATGAAGTCGAGTGGTGTGCAGTCACGTGAGTTTAACGGTTTAAAAATATTATTTTAAACGGTTTAAGAACGGCTTTAATCTTTAATGAATATTCAAAATTTTAAATTTGAAAGCTAATGAAAATTTTAATTGGTGTTTGTCCAACTGAGTGTTATTGGATATTAGTGAATAATATATAAAATAAATAATATAAAAATTAAAAAACATGACTGCCAATATCGAACTAAATATAAAATAAATAATTATGGCTTATACAATATTCTCATTGCAGTCAGGCGACCTCTTAGATTACAAATATTCTACAAAACGTTCTCCTACTGTAATCATATGGTTTAGCCAAAGCCGCCCATTTCAACAGCCGTTGAAATGGGCGGCTAGCCATTTTATTCAATGGCGCCAGTCAATTGAACGCAAAAAGTGACAAAATCACTTATTTATGAAAAATCATTCATGCGACGTTTTTCGCTGCACTTGCTGCAACTTAGTACAATACACCCAAATACACTTCACTACACATTAACTCAACTAATATAGGATCTTCTCATCAGAACACTTAATAAAATCAACATCAGCAAAACACAAAAAATGGGTTACGCGAAGAAGGCGCCATAATTATATATGAATAAAACTATTTCTTACATATGGCATTTTACTGAAGTCAAAAAAAAATTGGTCATAAATTTACCGATTTTAAAAGACAACTATCGATTCCATCATATGACGTTGAAAGTCGAAACCGTTGTTGGTTGTGAAGTATGTCCTTACTAGTCTGTCTTAGTTGCTAAGTCTGTGTTGTAAACACAGTAAAGCACGTGTTTTCTTATAATTCGCTCAAATTAATTATCAAACATAAATTATTTACAATGGTTAAAATTGCAAAAAATAAACTACAGAAGCCACAAGCTAAGCCTGAGAACGATGTGGTAATTTTACCTCCTTGGCGAATGTCTGACGAACCAGCACCAAAACAGGTACAATAAAAACAGTTAACTCATGATTTATCTTGTCTTTTATAAGCTTCTATCCTATTTACTTATTATTCATGCAAATTAACCAATGTGTGAATTCCGAAATTTAAACTTTAATAGGTTAGAATGTAACAGGTACTTAGGAAGGTTAGGTTTGTAGATTTGTTTTCCTCATTTAGACGCTTTCTTACTCCAGTCAACCCTACTACGCTTTTTGAGGTTTTCACAGTATACATAATGCTATATTTTTAGGTAAAATGGATAAATAGACAAAGAGTTTTGGTGTTTGCGACTCGGGGCATTAACCATCGCCACCGGCATGTGATGGAAGATATAAAAAAATTAATGCCACATCATAAAACTGAATCCAAGATGGAAAGAAGCAAAAACTTGTATGTGGTCAATGAAATCAGCGAGATGAAAAACTGCAATAAGTGCTTATTATTTGAAGGTAGAAAGATGAGAGACTTATATTTATGGATGTCTAACATACCCAATGGACCTAGTGTAAAATTTTTAGTTGAAAATGGTAAGTATTTTGCATTTGTTTATATATCCAGTGTTATATGAATCACCATTAAACCTGTAACATTGATAACTATAGGTATGTAAAACAAAGAAATAAGTAATGAATTATATTTATAAGTTGACAACAGAATGTGTTTTCTCATCTTCAAAAATAGTAATTAATTGTTCCATTCACCTACAAATGACATGACATAAATGATTTTTTTAAGTGAGTGTGATCATTATAATGAGTGAAAAATGTTAACACAGACAAACTAAAACCTTGCTAACTGTTTTGTTACAGTTTCAGCTTGCCAAAAGTATGAAGCTAATGTCTAAGTAACATCCATCTGGATAGAACTGTATAGATTAGAATTGCTAAATATTGTTGTTTTAGTTTTGATGTTTGATTTTGCAGTCTACACCATGGCGGAATTGAAAATGACTGGTAATTGTTTAAGGGGTTCTAGGCCTTTGCTCTCATTTGACCCTCAATTCACAAAGGAACCACATCATATGCTGCTCAAAGAATTGCTCACTCAAATTTTCGGTGTACCCAATCACCACCCTAAAAGTCAACCATTTTTCGACCATGTCTATACTTTCATGATTTTGGACAATAGAATTTGGTTCAGAAATTATCAGATATTATCAGAAGATGGTGCATTAGCTGAAATTGGACCGAGATTTGTTTTAAATCCTGTAAGTATATTGAGCACCATCAAAAATTAAAAGTATTTTCTTAATTCAATATATCAACATAAAATTGTAATTGAATTTTGTAATCTAGGCTTGATTTATATATGTTGACTGTACTTCCAGGTAAAAATATTTTCTGGCTCATTTGGTGGAATGACTTTATGGGAAAACCCAAAGTACATTAGCCCGGCTAAACTTCGACAGGCATACTCAAAGAAGGCTGCTCATAAATATGAGCGAAGAATTGAAAAAAAAGTTCTTTATGAATCAACAAAACCTGAAACTGGCTATCCTGATATAGAGGGAGCAGACTTTTTCAAAGGAGATCCAATGGAGAAAGCAAAGGAAGTTGTTGTAAAAGGTTAATATTTTTTGATGCTACAACAATTAGTTTCAATGAGAATAACACTTGTTAAATTATTTTCCCACCCATAACCAATTGCAATTTGAGTGACTGCCTAACCATGTTTATAATATAAATTTTAGCTAGAGCAGGATGCAGTATATTTATACCTTTTTAATGACAAACTAATTTTATATTTTTTTTATTTTATAAGCCAGATTGTTCAAACAATATTATTTGTCACCTTATTGACTTGTTATCTTGTCCTATCTTACTAAAAATATGCTAATCTGAATTCCTAGTTTAAACAGCCAAATGCCTCTATTTCATAGAGTACTAGCTGTTTTCCCGCGACTTTGCATTCGTAAATTATAGCCTATATCAAACCCTGTATGATGTAGCCACCTGTAGGTATTGGAACTTTTTAAATCCAATAGTTTCAGAATCTACTCAATACAAACAATCAAATCTTTCCTGTTTATAATATTAGTATAGATTAGAATATACCTTTATTGCAGAGGAAGAATCGGAGAAATCCTCAGAAGAAGATAATTTAGTGGAAAATATTGCACCTAAAAACAAAGGAAAGGCCAAACCAGACATGGCCATCAGACGCAAACAACTCAAGGCGAAAAGCAAGGCTATTTCTGACCAAATAAAAAAGAGGAAACAATTTAAAAAGAAAAAACCCTTAAAATGTCCTCATTAATTAAAATAAAACAATATTGTTACACACCAAATATTTATTTTATTTTTTTCGAACTGTAATTATAATGAGAGAATTTAAATAAATGGAAGATTGTATGAGGTAAAAAGATCTGATTTACTTAGTAAAAAAGCAATATCACAGAAAAAATGTTACATAAAAATCTTATGTGCAAAATTTTTTGCTTCACAAAGAATCTTGTCCACTTTCCATACATTGATTGACCTGCCACCTATCATTAATGATGATTTAAATTAGTTTTTGCTTAATTAAAGTAGAATAATATCTAAGCATCTTTTCATCTGGAGGCCGGGGAGATTCGTAATTTGTAAATAATGTTTTGAGGTTACATCAGTTGTATTACACGAATATAATTGAAATAAGTAATTTATCTTTAAAAATAATTTTACTTTTTGCAACATGTTATTATACTTAATGAATATGACAAATAAAAAAAAACTATAATGTCACTAGATACTTATTTTAATGAAGCTGAACTCGTTTGGTTCGGATTGATCTGCTATCAATCTTGTATTCGATTTAATTTCGACGAAATTCGGCACGCATTTCATAGAACACTAAATTAACGCAAACGTATGAAGTAAATACCTAGGCGACATTTATTTTTCTTTAGCGTCAGTATACTGACTCATTAACGGACATAATTTATTTATTAATAGTTGCACAAACAACCATTCAAATTGTCATCAGTTTAAAGCAATATTACACACACAAAATTCATTAAACTCTAATGGATGTTTGTGCAAAAGACTGTTTGAGACTTATATTTAATGGACGGTTAAAATAGGACATAACCAAAGTCAACAAAGAAAGTTTATATGTAGAAATATAAATTAGCAATGTGCATTGTTAATACAGTGTTTTGTCTTTTTACTCAGACTGAAAGTCCATTGGAATGCCGTGAACAGAACCATGTGTAACTAAACAGTGATAAGTTTCTTAATAGTAAGGGTGCATTCAAGATTGGATTTGCTATTCGTTATTAACATTCAAATGTTTTTTTTTTTATGGGATAGGGGCAGACGGATCACCTGATGTTAAGTGATTACCGTCGCCCATGGACACCTGCAACACCAGAGGGGCTACAAGCACGCTGCCGGCCTTTGAGGGAAGGGTTGAGGGGTAGGGGGAAGGGAATAGGGAGGGGTTGGGCCTCCGGTACCCTCACTCACACGACGAAACACAGCGTAAGCGTTGCTTCACGTCGGTTTTCTGTGAGGCCGTGGTATCACTCCGGTCAAGCCGGCCCATTCATGCCGAAGTAATTCTTTTTAAATAAAATACCTACATCATTTAAACTAAAATTTCTTTCCTGTCTATGTTGGAATACGTAACTAAAACCAAAAATGTCGAATGACTTAAACAATTTTATCAGATCGCAAATTAGAATACCTCAAAGCTGCAGTTGAATATAAGTCAGTTCTGCGACTGCATTGTTGTCTAGATTTAAATTTTGTACCTGTATGCTAAATACCAAAACTTTTAACATTATTAGTTAAAAAAAAATTACTTGATAGTAGCAAAATTTTATAGCAATCAACTGCGAAGTTTAAACTTATTTCAATTACTCGATAATGTATTCGAGTCCTGCCAATGAGGCGACTGCAGACCAGTGGCGGACTAAGGTAGAGTGCGGCTCCGGTCCTGAGTGCGGGTCTCCTATGAGGTTAGTCCGCCACTGCTGCAGACAGACGTGTAAACAAACCTACTACATGGAATGTTCATCGGCTTCTCGATACGAGTTTATACTCATCATTTAAATGCCATACATTTTTTTTCTAGAAGAGAGCAACATTACAAATAGGTAATTTAACGGCATAAATAGCATCGCACAATAATGAGATAATAAAATTCATACTTAACACTAATACGTCACTTATAGTGCAATACATAAAAAAATGTACGTATAAAACTGATTCTATCGAACCTAGGTATCTAAACAAATGGTGTCCGTATGGATTGAGGAGCAACTTCAGATTTTAAAACGAAATGTACCCCTTTATTTAGTAGGGAATTAAATAATTTTATACGCTAAATTCTGAAATTTGTAGCAAAATATATCCAGAGTTAAATCAATGTAAAAGTGGCTCCTCAATCTAGAGTGTAAATAGCATTCATTCATATAAACAGTCTTGTGGATTACATTAATTAATTCGTACATATATTAAACGTGTGCTATAAAATATAGTTAATTTAAACTGTGATTGTATCTATTATTCGATTTATTATTTTAATATCTATAAATAAGGCTAGCTTTAAACAAAAAAAAACGTTACAAAAATACTAATCTACTTATACGATATACTTATGATTAGACAATTATCTAATCATAACATTACATCAAAAAAAATTGTAAAATACTATTACATTATTTATAAAATTAACTTGTACCGTGTAGATTATTAGAAAAATGCATCATAAAACAGGTGCTATAAAGCATTAAAATACATCTAAAAAAATCAGCTACAGTTGGGTCATTTTTATAGGCAACATTTGATATCTTTCAGTATCAACTTCAAAGTAGTAAACATAATATTATAACCTCTTTCAAAGTTACGGAATGCAAACGTGAATTTGCAAATTTCGAAAACGAACAAATAACCACATAGGTATTCTACAGGGGCGGATTAACCTATGGCACACGGGACCGACTAAGAGCAGGCCCGTCTTTACCCATGGTGCAGGGGCCCCATGCGTTCGGAGACGCCGCGCCGATGATGGTCTCTAAATATAAATATGTGTAAAAAGTAGACTGAGGGGCGCCAGAGTACTACTCGCACCCGGGCCCCTGTTGTGCTTAAGACGGGCCTGGTTCTAAACACTAAAATATTGTTTAAATACGTTTTCATCTACAAACATCATATTGTTACCCCTTCAATTTACTCTGTTTCTTATTATAATTATTTTTATATGGAAAATTGATAAACACGTAAATCGCTTTGTGACCCATGGGATAACGCAGCAGTCAACAATAGTCGTAATAATGAAGTTTGCGCATAATTTATCAAACAGTGTTTGAAGCGCAATTATTCTATTTGCAGTAGGCAATGAGATACAAAACTGTTTTGGATTTATCCAACGCTTTAAGTTTTTGCACTGCGTTTAGTAATAATAAAATTTGTGCGTTATTCATTTATTAGTTGTGATTTTCTTCTGTTGTTCATGTTACAACGTCGAAACAACTCGTAATTTAATAATCAACCTAAGTATATTGATAATAATCATAAAATTGATGCATTGATGCATTTGCATTGTGCAAATATAATATCACTTCACTTTATTCGATTCACATTTCTTTGAAAACCATATCAATTCGTTAAATTAATCGAACATTTTAAAATGGACGCCTCACTATTAAGTTCAGATTGATGGAAGTCAAATGTGGCTTTTTATAATGACCCAACTGTACATTCTAATCTAATATATATAAGTTGAAATCGATCATTATTATTATAGAAAAATTGTTTCAAAAATATACAAAAAACATTTAATTATAACATTACATCTAAAACTTTTATTTAATTACTTGTACTGTTGTAAAAAAAATATTAAAAACTTCATGCACTTATGTTAATACTTATAATTAACATAAAATAATAAATAAATAAATACGGCATTCAAAATTTGCTTCACAAAACTCAAAACGGTGGGATTCATCTGAAAAAAAAAATATTGGTGCTTATTGTGTGATAATTCATAAGTCATATTTATTTATGAAAACTTCAAATGGAATTCACAAACATGACGTACGAGGGAGGACCCATAAGTTCCGGGAATTACGCTGTGGTGGGGAGGGAGAGTGAAGGAACCTATTGTTTGACCACATGTCGTCACGCCACCTGTGTCAGTGTGCATTTTTTTTTACATTTCGGCGAAAATGCAAGGTACCGTCCATAAATTACGTCACACAAAATTCATGATTTTTAACCTCCCCCCCCCCCTCCTGTCACATGATTGGCTATACAAATTCTACTAAATATTGTTCTAATGTCACAGTTCGTTGACCCCCCCCCCCTTCCTAACGTGTGACGTAATTTATGGATGGCCCCAAATGGCAGATTGTCGAGAACAACGCGCGGCTGTGAAATTTTGTTACCTGTTGGGGAAATCGGCCGCGGAAACTATCTGTTGTAATGCTTAACACTGCTTCTGGGAATACTGCCTTAAGTATAATCAGTGTTAAAGATTGGTTTTCACGTTTTAAAAATGGAGAAATGTCTTTTGAAAACCAACTTCGTTCATGACGCCCCTCAACGTCAAGAACTGATAAAAACGTCGACAAAACTATGCCCTCGTTCGTGAAGACCATCCCCGAACCATTAATCAACTCTGTGAGATGTCGGTAATGTTATGGAGTTCAATTCGGAGAATTTTATCCGAAGATTTGCACATCTTTGGCGACAGGTGACTGATTCTTCAATCATGACAATACGCCGGGCCCACACCGCCCGTTCCGTGAAGCAATTTTTGACTAAAAACGCCATAACACCGCTCGTTCATCCCCCATACTCACCGGATCTAGCCCTCTATGACTTCTTTTTGTTCCCCAGACTCAAACGGAATATGAAAGGAAAGCGTATGCCACTGTGGAGTAGGTGAAACAAAATCGCTGGAAGGCTTAAAGGACATCCCGATGAGTGCATTTAAAAACTGTTTTGAACAATGGAAGAATCGTTTGGAGAAGTGCGTTGTAGTCAATGGTGAAACTTTGAAAATGATCAAAATTTGGTGTTGAAATAAAGAAATTATGACGAAATTCCGTTTTTTTGGGTCCCCCTCGTACGTATCTACAGTAGAACCACGTTTATAAATTACACTGATGTACAGTCAACATCATAATTATAGAAAAGCCCATCGTAAAAAAGATGCAGTAGAGAAGTCCAACTTCGTTTAAGCAACTAAAGTTTATCTCAGTACGTAGTTATTAAAAATATCTTGGCATAATTTCTTCAAATCTACTAACCAACAACTTTTTTTGGAACTCAATACTTAGTAGGTATAATTAAAGAAAATGTAAAATTATATATGAATGTCTGTTGTCTTTGGCAACCATAAAAGATGACTAAATCGAATCAAGAAGTTTATTTCAATATCCCGATATACATTTATAATCTTTACCAATAGAGAGATCACAAAAATGGTGCCGAGATACTTTAAAAACTTTCCGTGCTTAGATCACATGTAACTTCGATGACTTTAGGACGCTGACTGTACCTTCAGAAGCGCGAAAATATATTAGCCAATCGTAAAGTTCGGGAGTGTGTACAAACAGTATTCGTTGCGCGCCATGTTTGATATGCACGCGGCATCATGATGATATGTCTCGATAATTTTGTTGCCTTAAATAAAACCTTAAAGTAGAACATTTAAACCCATATTTTAAGGTTTTTGGTACTCATATCCCTTGTAGCACAACACAGACGAATATTTACCAATGCACATATAAAAATGGTAGGACTGTATCTATGTTAATTTTACGAATATTATATTACCTACACGCGCTGTTCGTTTACATATAAACTATTAATAGTCACTCGAATAAAACATGCTTACACATGCATATAAAACATAACGTAAATACACAACGAAAAGTCATAATACTTAACTTTTAAAAAAATTGAATTATTACTCCTCCAAATAGGTATATCAAGAGATTATTGACTACACCCAATTTTGTCAATAACATTTTGGACGGACTGGCTATTGAAAATTGTTAATCGCAAGATAACACAACCACTTATATATATAAGAACAGAAGTTTAAAAGAAATCTAAGATAAAAATAGTAATATTTTTAGTTGAAGCTATTCATTTGGAAGGATTATATAATCGTAACCAAAGTAATTACGTGATATTTTTTAATATATAACATACATATATATCTATAGCCAAAGTAATAACGTGAGATTTTTTTTATATATAACGTACATATATATCTATAGCTTTACATAAGAAATAACATCAACATTGAACAACAACATTACATTAAAATTTCACCACAATAGCACACATTTTTCAAATAAGTTTTTAAAAACATTCCCCATATGTAAGACTGAAAACCATGTATCATATTATATCAGAAATAGGCTACTTATTCGCAACTAATACATAAAAAAATAATAGTCTATCAAAATCAACAAAAACATTGTTTGGATCTAGCTATCCTTGAATTTATTACATTAAAATCAATTTCTTTATAATATGAGTTAAGTTCAATATATAAAAGAAAAAAAAATACACATAAATATATATACATATGTATTTTTTATATTAATATATAATAAATTAACACTATTATAAAGTATCACCAAGTGGCCTGGGTAAAATATTGTATGAAATACATGATTTAAAATACACTTACATATTGTAAATCAAAAGTGTGTTATGACTAGAATATTAATTCAACAGCAAGCAGTTCTAAGTCACAAACTAAATTCGCAAGACAATAAAGAAGCAGGTAACAAAATGTTAGTTTGTTAGGCGTCCAGTCAATAAGCAAAGTTTGTTAATAAGACTGAAATCGACAGCTCAGTTAAATTAAACTAATAAACATTTAGAAAGGGAGATTTAGATATTGTTTTCAATACTTTTCTTGGAGATCCTGTAGTTCAGGACCGTCGTTTTCGGTGTCCCGCTTGTGTCCACCCAACTCGGCTAGACGGGAATTTTTCCATTTACCATCCGAACCGTTCATATTTCGATCTTCACACACGCATAGGAAAAGGGAGTCGACCACCATCTGAATATTAAGTTTTTGACATTTTACATACTACTCGCACGAATTAACACGACACGTAAAGGCCTACTCTATTTCTCCGAAAACGAATATTTTTCTATTTTCGTGATGCTAATACGACTCCAAACTTTTTCAAAATACTTAAACGTCACTTAAAAATTATTATATTTTATCAATGTTGGGTTCAAGTTCCATCTCAGAGTGCCTGGTGGGTTCCGCTGGCGCAAAGCTATTTAATCATAACTCAATACTTTTTGACTAAAATATTTTTTTAAAGTTTTCATTGTAATGTCGTGACATTTTTACGTTTATATTTTAATCATAAACGAACGTCTGGCACTTCACTCGTAACGGTAACGCGTAGCGTAGTTTTAGAAGATATATTAACATTCGAGTGATAAATAAAAACAAAACATAAAAGAAAAGTGTGCTGTAAGTTTCATTCTAAACGATTTAATAATATCAGATTACTTTAGTCAAACAGACGTTAATTTCAATTTAAAGATAAAAAAATCTCATAATGATTTATTATCTCATTATTTATTTAGTAATTAACTAGCTTTCGCCAGCGGCTTCGCCCGCGTGGACCCTAGGGAAATGTTATGTGGGATAAAAAGTATCCTATTATCTAAGTCAGCTAATACCCTATCTGTATACCAAATTTCATCAAAATCCGTTCAGTAGTTGCGGCGTGATTGACCGGCAAACATCCAAACAAAGAAACTTTCACATTTATAATATTAATAGGATTACTAGTTTTCCGCCAGCGGCTTCGCCCGCGTGGTCCCCAGGGAACTGTTTATTTGAATATCGATTCACAAATGACACGGATATACAATAAATTACAATGACAAGTTGAATAGTAAACGATGGTTACTATGGTAATGTTATAATTCCCTCGACAAATTTCCACCCCCTTTTTTCATTATTTGATGTTTTTCGGGATAAAATATGTCCCCCCATATATAGTTGTAGTTTCCCGTATGTGGAAATTTTTTAAAATTAACCCAAGTTTCGGAGCCTATTCGTTGCAAACAATCAAATATTTCCTCCATAAAATATTGCTATGTATATTAGTATAGATATATAACTCTGCCATATATTTGATAATGTAGCCAAATCTAAAATAAATACTGAATAGATGAATAAATATCATCATATTTGGTAAATTTTGTATTCATAATGGTATACTATAAAATATTTTTAATAAACCACTTTGTCCCCGAAACTCCGAGATGGACAATTGACAATGATGAACATAGGCTCTGTAGTAGCGAAAAAGTAACAAGTGCTTGAAAAATTCGTCAGTCCTATTTGGTCCTGGGTGACTCAGCGGTTAGAGCTGTCACCCGGACCGCGAAAGGTCGTGGGTTCGAATCCCATCTCAGAGTACCATGGACAAAGTGGATTTTTAAGTATTTTTCATTTAGAATAATGAATAGATATATTGATACTGACCTCGTATAATGACAATATGCAATGTGCTATGAAGAACGCAAACACGCATATGACCAGAGTTGGTGCAGCGAAGAAGTGCAGGTCTGAGTTACGTTTCAGAAGCAGCAGACCGACAATGCCCGTTACCGCGGTAACTATACATTTGCCCAGGAACAGAATGAAATCGCCAACACTATTGATCGTCGCTACTTGAAGGGCATTGTTCACTATAGTACTAAACGCCTGGAGAAAATTAATAATTGTATTTTTTATTTCTATTTTGTTACTATATTACAGTGAAACCAGTATAGTTCAATATATAATAGAAAAAAATACACATAAATATATATATATATGTATTTTTTATATTACTATATTACAGTGAAACCAGTAGGTCGGTGGAGTGGATAAGCACCGCGGCCTGCGATCATTGTTATTAAGCAACTTTCGCAAGTCGGTCGCGGGGTGGGTGACCAAAATCATCTCGAGCTACTCCGTACTACGGAAGACACGTTAAACGAGATCAACAGATCCCGGCTGCATTTATAATCGTTAACAGCCTCCAATCTGCATTGGGCTAGAGTAGAGGGTCATGGCCCATCCTCCTTTATAAGGAAGACGCCCCTACAGTGGGGACGTAAAAGGGCTTGGTAATGATACAGTGAAACCTAATTTACAATTAGATTACTCGCTAGTTGAGATTGATTTTATGGGTTTTTTTTTTATATTTAACTCTATAGTTGGAAATTTGAAGTTCAAAAACCAGTATAAGTTCTCACTTATAAGTTTTCTCAAACTTATTAGGTTTAGAAAGGACTATATCAGAACTTTATCAGAGGTTCTTAACCTTTCAATCTTTAGTGACCGTTTAACAAAATTCTATCTTGCCATGCACGACCCATTTGAATAAAATTTTTCATTCATTCATAATGCTACAATTTTTTTAAGAATATAGGAGGATAAATATTGTTTTTTTATTTTTATTTATGTCGCACTTTAATATTTTTTTTCATTTTAATAAACGATGGGAAAAAACATTATCATAAATCATAAAAATCAAAATAAGTTATAATATCATACCACAGATAATATAATACAGTTACAACTGATGTGGCACACTGAGTACCTGCACGAAAGGGTAAATATCGTACCGCGACAAATGTTAGCCAATCAGAATTATTCTAGTATCACTTTATATATTTTTTTATTTTTTAACAAAATCGATTTTAGTTTCGAGATATTCTTTTGTATCTGTATTTTCTTTTTCTTTTTCTTTTATATTTTCTTTTATACTCTTTGCTGTGATATACATAGTAATATATACATAATATATAATAATTATATATTTGATCTCTTTTGTTTACATTTGCACTTTTTGTGAAAGATAGAAATATTGAAACTTACTGAACTATGTCAAACTTAAAATAAATAAGTGAAAGCTTTTTTTCTCAATGTACCTTAGCAGCTGCTTTACAAAAATGACATCTTTCTATAGTGATGATAGTGTAGGCGTTATGGTTCAAATAACGTATAAACTTCTCGAGGCAATAAAAACAACAAATTCCACATTTTAATCCACATTTAGCACAGTCGGATCCCTTCTCTGCTCTGGCTGACAACCTAAAGATAAAACAGTTGCATATTATAATGAAAAACCATATGTTACCAAGGGAACTGTTAAGCGGGATAAGAAACATAACCTACATATTAATCAAGGCTTAGAATTATCCGTATATGTACTAAATTTCATCAAAATCTGTTCAGTAGTTTTAACGCGAACATCCGAACTTTCGCCTTTGTAATATTAGTAAGAGATAATATCAAATGTGGTTTTAACAATACCGTTAACAATATCTCCTTTTAGATCATAAATATTTGTGTCAAGTTCTATAGGTTTACATTGACTACATCATTAAAAAAATATATTAAAATTACTTGAATATTATGCACGCTTTAATATATAGTTTGAATTATGTTGTCACTAATAGAATACTTACTTGGCATGTAAATATGTTAGAATGAGACGTGGTATTTTAAACAGGGTAATCAAAAATGAACCCTTAGCAACTGAACCTAAGTGATACTTCACAAGTTTTCCAATAGAATACATAACAGGAGAGTTTGCATTAGGACCTCTGAAACAGAAATCATATTATTATTTTTCACTCGAAAATATCGACTGTTTTAAGTATTTCGAATCTGGAACCTTTCTCTGTCCGGCTATCTGTAATGTCTGTCATAATGTAATGTCTTCTATACTCCATTCATTATAGCATTAGACAGAAGTTAAATAAGGTTCTTTATATGGTATACTTTGTGACAAAATATGAATAATCATTTTATTCTTTACACTGACGGCTAATTTGCTACATACCCACTATTACCAAATACCTTCTGCTATACTTAACCGTTGACGTTTAAGCTATATATTAAACAAATTTACGAATATTTGACTTATTTAAATTATTTAATAACTATTACAATAAAAAGTGTTCATATTAAAGAACCTAAAGAAGCAGGGTTGGATAGTTACGGCACGATTCTCATGTCACTATAACTCTACAAATTTAAAACGTTACCTAATCCCTTCAAACGTTTCGGCAGTACAGTTTTTATTTTGTCAGGTTATGATGTATTGATTATTGTCAAAATACATAATCTAGGAATGTCATTCATGTGAATACTACTGCCTTGCTTGTTGCTTTGTCGTTTTTTATCATTTCATTGTTTTTTCTTATACTTTTGTTTTAGTTTTTATCTTTTTGTTGTTAAGTTTTGTTAAATATGGACGATGCCGGTGCAGGCCCGAGTGGCCTACAACAATTACCTATGACATTTCAGGAAGTTTTTCCAATGTCTTCGGCAATAGTCTAATAATATCTGATAAATATTATAAAAGTAATATTTAAAGGTTTGTTTACCTTTCTTTCCTGGGCGTAGATATAATTAAATTCTATTCTTATTATAATTACTTTTTATGTAATTCATCTATTCTTATATATAACTCTATTCTTATAATGTTACTTACAATTAGAATTTATCAAAACAACAGATAGATAGTTTTAGTTCCATGTTGGCTTGGAAGTAAAAGATTAATTTAGAAAATGCTGGCGTCATCTTAACCCCGAGGTATCGTAAAAAATCGAAAATTGCCTATGACTACTACCTAACGTTCAAAGTTTCAACAAAACTATCAAATATATTACTAAAATTTAACTTGAAAAGAGAATGTGCACTGCTGCTTCTGTTAGCCTCTTTTTTCTAATGTTATAATGAATGGAGTATATTAGTCGAGGAAAATACGCTCAATAGCAGCGAAAATAACAAGTTTAAGTAATACCCGCAAAAAGTCATGGGTCAAAAATTCGAATAGATTCTACAATAATCTTATTTTAATATTGTTATTAAATATATTTTCAGCAATGATTATAGTGTAAAGTTATATAATTCAAAAATAAATACACTCGAATTAAGGATTAAAACACTTTACCTAAAATACCAATGTGATACAGCACCAGCTATAGTCATTTGTTGACATCCAAGTATGAACTCGCTACCCCATATCAGACATATTAAACATATCCACCACATGCTTTTCACCCATAATGGATCGAACTCCACCGAATCCAGAGTAAATGCTTTTATGAAAGAAAAAAGAAACAGACTTTATTGTAAGCTCACAACATGCATATGATATTATTATTACAATCATTTATATTATGTTAATTAATGCAAAAGCAATCAGTCACATGACATTTCTAGATGTTTTTCGGACATTTCAATTATATGAGCACTGGTTGCACTCGCAACAAAGACGTTGACGTTAAGTTTACTGAAATGTGACGTCACACAGTGCTTCGACATGGCCGCCTGCGTTTCTGTACTCCACAGATTATGAATGGAAAGTAAATTTTACAAAAAAAAATTATATAATTTATTTTAAAACAAAAGTACTACTACAGTTATAAGTTACCATTTTCAACATGTTTCATTATTTATTGTTACAATTATCGAGTAGCCTATTTCACACCCGCGCAAGTATCATTTTACAGTAAAAAGGGACACAGGAACTCACTTTTAAAATTAGCGCTTTTGTTAACCTCTTGTGCTCGTACCGCTGCATTATCAATATGGTCAGGCAATGGAGTTCCATTGACAAAAAAGTTCGTTTTATATGGTATTCCAGGATAATTTGCTGTTGCAAGACAAACCTGGAAAACATACACACTTCTTATATCATAATACATTAATGCAAATTGATAAAGATGTTGTTTTTTAAAATATAATTTCGTTTTCTATAATTTTACTTAGCTATATTATTAATGGACCACAGAGTAATAAACTAAACTTGTGTAGATTGTAGTAAACAACTACGAAACGACAACGTAATCTGAGTGAGAGTAGAGAAAACTACAGATTTTTTTTGTTCGTTCCATTTCTGTTGTATTTTTTGGTATTACTAAATAACATAGTAGAATAAACATATTTTTTATTTACATTATATTTTTTTATGGATAAATATATTTTTTAAAGTCATCATTACTTCAAAATGTAATATTGATTGATTTAATTTTATTATCATTTTCATGTTTATTTTTTATATGTCGTAAATAAACTATAGAACTATATGGACATAAACCGGATATCATAACTAAAAACGTTAAGTAACGAACACAATATCAAAATTTTTGCACTGATCACAAATTTTCCCTTTGTAATAATGAAGCGTACTAGTCACTAGGGTATTGATAATAATGACAGTTACACAATACTTACCACAACAGTGGACCAAAATGCAAAGAATAATATTAAAAATAAGAATGTTATTATAGGCTGCAGAAAAAGAGATGGAATAGAGCCGAGGCAGTGAGCAGTCTCCTTGAACAAGGCTGCAAGAAATGATACCCGTGATCGCATCACCCAGACCAGCAGCAACAAGATAACCTAAAAATAATAAATTTAATTAATGCTTCATTCGTTAGTTTTATTTTGAAATTAAAATTGATTTGAAATGAAATGTTATTGATTTTGAACAGATAAATAACAATTAAAAATACTACGTGTCATTCCTCTTTTGCCTTGGCTATTGTTTACTCTGTGATACAAGTATCTTCATTGTTAATATTTGAAACTAGATAGATAAAATTGACCACTTTTTCAATACACGGAAAGGTCACAGTATCTGTAAGTTTGCCAGCGCTATCACCACCACATATTTCATAACTTTCCTTTTATTTTCAGGCCCAGTTTGTCACTTTCAGTCTCCAATCTAACATGCTTTTCATGTTAGATTGGAGACTGAAGATGCCTAGGCGAATGTTATGAACTGTTATGACACAATGCCCGGTCATTATGAAATATGCCCAATATGAGAGAACGATTTGGTAATAATTATTAAAATAATCAAATTGACCGGGCGTTACAAATATTGTCCATTACCTTTTGGGCAGAGTAATAAAAACATATTTCATTAGTAATTATTCATTTTTATTGTCATTGTTTATTTATAATGGGCTCACTCTTGATCACGATCTAGCCCGAGGACATACATGAGATAAAGAGATATGATTAGAGAATAATAACATAAATGAGACGTTTTGTTTCGTATATATTTCACTTTGACCTTTGACTTTCAAAACATTTCATTTGGTAAAATTATTGTTAAGCTGATTATTATTAGGTATGAAAAAAACACTTTGGATATTTATCATTTGTCCGATCTTTCACTAGGCCGCACAATATTTAGACTTATAAGGTTTCGTCAACGTGTCGGTTCCCTTTTCATACATTGATAATTTGTCATGTTTTTCCTCTGAGTATGTAGATTTATGTTCAAAATTTTGTAATAAGTATAGCAACAGAAACATAAGAGGTTAAGTTAGTGTATGACAGACAACGCACAACTCAAGCGAGCATAGCGAGCGTACCGCGGTAGCGGCCAGCGAAGCGCCAAAAGCGAATCCCTTTTGTAAAAGCAACAATTAGGTTAGTTTAGGCTACATTAATGATGAAATTAGGTGTGACCATGAGCGAAGTGAGGAGGAGTGTGTTAGGTTGACTGTGAACAAACCAGCTCCACTTAACTAAATATAATACATATTTGGTAAACAATAAACAACCTATTTAAAATTTCATTTTAAAAAGTGTCACATGAAAAGCACACCAACCGTGCAGTTGGTAACGCCGAGGTTGGGAAATAACACAAAACTGTATGACAAAAAATATTTTTGTTTGTAACATATCATTTGTATGTTTTATAGAAGTTTTGACATATTATTATAAATTATTAAAAAATTAACTTAAGTTTAAGCAACCAGAATTATAATTTTTCTTCCTCCTCGCACCGTGTCTATAGCTTTATATAAAATTGCCCAATTGTAATTTAGTAATATAATAATGACGAATATTATTCTCCAATGGCACCCTTCGTGCGCGAGTTCCACTCGCCGGTTTTTTATATTTCACAGCACAGTTGTACACGTTATGGAACCCACACCCAGCAGTTGTATATATAAGGACGCCTTCGCCTATGTTATGTCCATCCCCAGGGTTCAACTATCGATTCAAATAATCGGTAGATTCAAAACGATTCGAGTATCCAGTCCCATCACTAATCATGTGACGCGCACGCCGAGCACGCCACTTCCTTCCCCTCCCTCCGCCCGCCGCCGGCTCGCGGCTTTCTCAGTCAGTTCTGCTGATATTATTGAAGCGAGAGCACGTTGCCGTTTGTTTACTACTCTAACTCCACCAGCTTTTTAAAATGGAGGTACTAGAGGCAGATTTTTGGATGCAGCTTACAAGTACCTATTAAGCATTCCTCCCACCAGCGTTGAATCAGAAAGGGCGTTTTCATCTGCAAGTTACATTTGTAACAAAATAAGATCATCGTTGAACGACGCAACTTCATGCAATGTGATAAATAATGAAGTTTAGATAGAAATTAATCACTAAGACTGATAGCGATGGAAATTATTCAGATTGGTCGCACATTATTAATTATGCCCATAACACATATTAAAGAGGAAAGCGATGAAAGTATGCATCCATGCCTTATTCGAATATACCAAGTCGGTGTCCATTTTGACGATAGAGCGGTTGTTGATATAGAAGTTTCGCAAGGCCAGAGTGGTGGCAAAAGGAAACAATCGTTGAAATTCCGCAGTGATACTGACTGCCTACAGCTTCTCCACATTTAAAGCTTTTAATATACAGCATGCTGTATCTCTGATTGTATTATTTCTAGTTCTTTCTTGGATCTGTGATGCCTATATAGGGATCTGCTGTTCTGTGACGTATGTGGAGTTGTGTAATAGTTTCTATCGCTTCCAGTGTAATAGTTTCTAGTCTTCCTGATCTTTTTCGGTGAGAATATATTCCCGGTATCATCTACATTTTTATAAGTTTTTTTTTTTATATTACGTGTTCCGAAAAGTCCAACTTTTCGAAAGTGATCTAAGAGTTCAAGTTCGAGCTCTTAGATCTTAGGGATTCTTAACGCAACCTATTTATATATATCATCATCATCATCAGCCCTTTTACGTCCCCACTGAAAGGACTCAGGCCTTCCTCATGGATGGTTAAGGAGGATGAGCATGGAGTAGCTCGAGATAATAATTTTTGGTCACCCATCCCGTGACCGACCCTTGCCAAAGGTGCTTACGACAACGATCGCGGGCCGCGGCGCTTATCCACGACGCCCCCGAGCTACTCATTTATTTATATAGTTGTTCCTAATTCCTAATATTTTCGACATTTTCTTTTATTATTTTTATCTTCTTTAAAACTCTGAGCTATATTGCTATCTATACTTCAGTATTATATTTGAAGCTGGTTTTTGATTTCTTTTTATTTATTTATTTATTTGAAATCAGTAACTTTATTTCACGTCTTTCGATGTCGTCAATTAAATTTAATATGGCGCCCCCTAGAGAACAATGTATCAATAACTAAGAATGTTTTACAGTTAAAATTATGCTTACCGTTATAATAGTTGCAATTATTGCATACCACAAGAAAGCCTTCTCATTTTTCAAGGATTCCTGAAACAATTATTGAATTTGTATATTTATTTAAATAAATCACTAACACCCAGTTTCTGAAATGATAATTTAAAGTTAATCACATTAGATATTTTAATGATCAGTTGAATGCAGTTTGATAAAACTATGACGTTTTGCGTTCTCAAACGTAAAAAATATAAGTTATTAAGAATAATCACTTGAGATTTTGTTTATATCTCAATTCACTTTTCTATCTGTCTATCTCATTGATTTCGTCATGTTTTCTTCTTTCTCTCGTATAATGAATAGGGATGCTCAGAACAATGATAATAAGACCTTTGTATTTTTATATTTAATTTGGACACAAATTATTTAGTATAATACATATATTCTCCCTCTTCGGTTCTATTTGATTCCATCCATAAGATAGAGCTGTTGCCCCGCAATGGCGACATTAGTAGGCTGGTGAATGCATCATTGTAATCAATTTCTGTAAGACAGGTGATTGATGCATCTGCTCTTTCAGTATCAACAAAATGTATAAAACTCTGTTAAAATTTCAGTACAATAATAGTCGTAAGATTTAAATAATACTTACAGCCAAAAAGGGAGTTTCTGAGAAATCCTTCTGTTTAGTTCGGAGTTCATGATATGTGTACCATAGAAGTGCAGTTCCAGCTATGCTTACAACGGATACAATAATCATAAAAATCCATGAAACAAGACTTGCCAGTAGATGAAGTATAGACACCATTGCTAACGAACAAACTGAATGAGGAAAATATTTAATAATTAATTTAAATAGTATACGTTTTAAGTTGGTTATTAAGCCAGTTACATACTTCTTATATGAGAGGTGCATATCACTACCTATCGAAGCAATGGCAATAAACCTATTGAACCACTCAGGAAACTAAAAAACATATTATTTAATTTGAGTGTTTTTTTACATTATTCTGTACCAATGGGGAACGTGGATGACAGGGTGTCATGACATCCCCCCCTTCTTGAGCTGATTGAATATTTGATACAATATCATTTGTAATCTCAATGAATGAATTGAATTTAAAACATGCTTATATTCATTAGTCATTTACAATAAATCTTTTATAGTTTAGAAAGTAGAACAAATTGGTACCGTTACTGTAAAATCATTTATTTATTACCTTCAGACAAACTACAAGATTCAACCTATACACTTAGTTTTAACTATTAAGAAATGAGATCACTACCACCAATGACTCATCATAATAAAATTGTAGTTAGGTAGCATTAGAACTGGAGTTAAAATTAGTCTGACCTCATTTTACAAATGGATTGGATAATTGAAAATTGTATGTTCCAAGGCTCTTTCCTTTTCTGTTGACTAAATATGCAAAGAAGCACTTCAATGATCCTATTGTTAAAATTATTAAATTATAATTCAATTAAATATAATCTTGATATTCTTCAAGACTTTTGATACATCATTGTGAAACCTACACACATTTCCAATTGGCAGCTCAGGCCCAGAAACAGACTATATAATGTCAGGATTAGTTTAATACCACTTAACAAACACTTGCAATCAAGAGCAAACTTTAAGTGAATTGTAATACTCTCATTTTAAATTAACTCTTAATTACATAGTTAGACAGTATTGCAATATGCCCAACAATATTTGATAATTTATTAATAAAATTCAGTAATATATATAATTTTATCCTTGAACAATAAGAATACACACTATATGTTTATAATAATGATTGTAATTGTTTAAACAATAACTTCAATACTTACGAAAAGCAACAATAACACAGATGATCATTTCCTTCCAAGATGAATATATGTCAGATAACATTTGTTCAACGGTATCCCAACTGTTTAATAAGTCATAAAAATCATTAAATACTCTTTTAGCTAAGTCCTGTGCAGACTTAGGGAAGCATCTATTGAGAAGTGGAAACGAGTCATAAACAGGCAATGTAGGACAAGGGCCTATGAAGTTATGGAGGTCCTTTTCGTTTGTCACATTATTTAAATTAACATCATATCTACACAAATTTGATCCGGTTTCTCTGTAAAAATCTTTTATATCATTCAGAGACTGTAATTTTTTATTTGGACATTGTTTCACACATATCTTGAGTGAGCGTCTCAATTCTTTGACATCCATAAAGAATAAATAGTTCTTATCCATAGTGCTGATACCGGCTAAAGGAAAGTTGATCAACTTCTTATTACTTTTAACTCCACAAGTATTGCCAAAAGAGTCATATCCATTAATTAGTCTTTGTGGGTCCCCATAAACAAAGGAAATAGCGGCTACTATAATCTGAAAAAATACAGACATACTTGACTGAGTCTACTTTAATATGAAACAATAAACATGGGGAGTATTAAAATTAACGGTAATGAAATAGGAGCTTCCATATAAATTAAATAAAAAATTCATGTTTTCACTAACCATCAATATCCAAAACAGCACGTAAATTATCAGCCAAAGAATATCTGTGCAACCCTTTTTTGGAGCTTCATTTTGGGGCGAAATTTCACTTTGAGCACACCCCATATTAAAGAATTGTATTAGAACAAAAGGTAATAAAAAAGCTTTAAAGACTTTTATAAATCGATTTCATAATAAACACTAAAGCGAATGATATAGCTAAGGTTTCGCTTATCAAAATATAAGTACTTAAAATAAACAGTTTAAAACGAACAATACAAACAATTACGAAATACAATACAACCACCAATACACAGACCAATATGCACCAATACAACAAATGACAACAACAAAGCTTTTTTTGGTAGATTTTTATGTAAAGGAAAGGCGAAGAGAGCTTACCCCATACAGCCATTGTCTGTTGTACAAAAATTTTCTTGGATATCATAGAAAAAATAGGTCGTAGCCATGTTTTTAATAATAAACAACAATATGAAGAATAACAGCTATGAAGGCCTTTTTTGTACTGCAAAAGTAAAATCAAATTATTTCTCCGCTATGTCATAATTTAAAATTTAATACATAATTTAAATTTTATACTGGGTGGAACAGAACGACCGACACTCTCGAGGTTCCTGGAGAGTACTATTTGTCTTTAATATAATGTAAAAAAAATATAAGTCTAGGTCAAATAGTTTCGGAGATATTAAATTACAAAGTTTTTGAAAACAAATGAGTATTTTCAACCCTGAGTCAACTGTTTTTGGGACGTACTAAGGAAAAGTTTTAAATCGGTCATTGACTTCTTTATTTCTAAAAATGAAATAAACTAGTTTGTGATTTAAAAGATTGCTTTCATGCAAATTCTACCAGTCAATCAATAAACAAGGCAGTCAAAATACTTAAATCGATTTACAGACTAACAGCTGGTTTATGATTTGAAAAAAGTAGATATTTCTACTGCTTATTCTCAATAAATTTCACAAGTCAAATAGTCTTAGTTTTATCAAACTGCTATCAACTGATCATCAAAAAACTAAAATCGGAAACGAAAACTAAGTGATGTTAGTTTGAGACGTTTAACTTTAAATACTCAATTAAGAAACCGAGTGTAAAATTTCCTAAATTATTGTAGAGAGATCAATCTAACATTAACTTACGTTATTTTAAAAAAGCAGTTCTCCATAAAAATTGTTTGAATGGGGTAATACTCCTTTAACAACGGGATCGTTAATTAAACTCGATAAACTCACAAATCTTCCAGCGATTCATCATTAACACAAATGAACTTTGTTTTAAAAACATTGAGGAATTTGTTTAAAAATAGCATTTAAAAAGAACTTTAAAAAACGAGTGATATCAAAAGACGAATAAAAAAAAAATAAACAAAGTTCGTCCCTCAATATCAAAGCCCCGCCCACCCGCCAGCCTCCAGGCGGCTTCATTATTCTGTTGGTATTGTCCGGTCGATCAGTCGCCGCCTAACTTTTGCGCTGGAGTGTTGTTGCGCATCGCCGCCGACGCACCGCTGCGAAGCGTCTTTTGTCGATGTTTGTTTGTTCTAGTGCATTTTTAATTGAATTGTTGTTAATAAGATACTAGAGTGTTCGTCTTGAGTGCTATGTCTAGTTTAGTGAAGATTGTGTTTAGTTTTGTGTGAAATGTGATGTGTTTTGCGCGTGCATACACTGGCATGCAAAAGAGCGTGCTTAGCTGTCTTCAGAGAAGAATTGAACATTTTCAGCATCGACTATCATTAAGATATCGGTAAATAATTAAATTAATGTATTTCGTGGTCCGTTGTAATCTGCGCACAATCGATATTGCGCATGCGCGTTAAAGGGCTGTCAACACTTAGAAATTTAAAATTTTTGCTCAATTTTTACACCTCCTCTATTTTTAAATATTTGTCAAATAAAATGAACGTTTGCATGTAACCTAACTTGAAACTTTCGGCTGTGTCGGTCATTTTGTTCCTCCCTGTATATCTCCGATAGTTGACACGACATAGTCGTAAATAGGTCTCAAACAACATAGGTTATTCAATAAATCCTGAAGAGTGCTCGGGATATTTTCAGGTTTATGATAAATCTCCAGAAGACGATCTATGAAAGAACCCTAGCAAGAGAAAAATGACTACATTCAAAGAAAAGGTGATCCAAAGTCTAGCTATTTGAATTGCAGATAGGTGACGACACTATGGCAATGTTTTGTTTGGCAAAAGAGTTGTAGTGTTACAGAAGACATTGCTTCATGTTTATATTGCTCTGGTAAACACTTTGCTACTAATAAGATCTGTCGCATTGTTGTCAAAAGTCGATCAAAATTAGAATGACTCACGATAATATTTCCTTCCAAGAAGCTTCTGCTTTATATCCCAACGTAAAAAGGCTGTGCTCTGAGACAGTAAATTCCTCAACTACACCTTCGTCTTCTGTACCTTAAACTGTGCATTCTCAACGCTCAACTCTGACTTCTCGTTCTTATAAAAAACTATTTTCCTCTCTCCTCATTAACATCTGCCCTGGGGAAGGAATGTGACAAGCAGGCTTACCAGGATATAATTAGGAATTGTCCTCCTACTCTTCCTAATGGTTGTGCCCTTGGTAGTTCGAGTACTAATGATATAGTTCCGAATGATGATTGTCTTGATCTTCTATGGTTGCTTGTTGCTAATATTTTGTCGAAATTCAGTGATGTACCATTACCGCCCAACGTAGCTCCTAAAATTTTACCTCTTTTAAATTCATTAACAAAAAATGGCTTCTCTGAATATTAGGGGTTAAAGTATGAAATTGCCGTTTTATTATAATAGGTTCGTTGAATTGACATAGAATCTTCATGGTTTGAGGTTTTTGAAAGAAACCTTTATTCACATGGTTTCTATGATTTTGAATGAATGAATGAATATTTATTGAACACATACACCATTTGACAAATTAAAAAAAGACATAATAATAACTAAGACATAATACTAATTAAAAAATATATAATAATAATAATATAAAAATCTTCAAATTTGCCTAAATTCACAATATTATATCATAGTCGGTGCAGTGCTCAAAAGGTCCCGGCTCGACATAGTGCTGCAGCAGACTACAGCGTCGATTTTCAGCCAGCACCCGAGGTGTGCCAATGCTCGCTAGCTCTGCTATAATACTCCGCGAACGGACTCGCAACCATGTGGTCGCGTAGCGCTCGCAACTATCGCATACGCATTTGTGTTCTTTACAAATAATATTATGTTATGGAACTTAATTTATTCAAACAATAGGATACCATGGATTCAATAAATTTACGGGTCCCAAATTCCAGGTAAGTTCCTTATCACCTCTCCTTAGCATATGCATCATGAAACACACAATCACCTGAGTGCACCTTGGTGTCTGATAGACGCAGAAATCAGTTAATTCAGCGCTGACACTGTTGATTATATAAAAATAATGCTTTCAGTTTAGTCCTAAAGCTGTGCAGAGAATCCAGACCACGTAAAGGCGGCGGCAGATTGTTCCAGCATTTAGTTGCGCTGTATCTGAAGCTACCCCTAAATGATGCAGTTTTGTGAGACGGAATCTTCAGCACATGAGACACCGAGCGTATTCCATACCTATCTTGTGCAGTTCTCCAACGCAATTTAGAGTATAAATAATCAGGCATCATCCTATTTATAACACCAAATAGTAAGGTGGCCAGGTGTAATTCACGCCGGTGGTGCATCTTTAATATATTTTCCTTAATTAGGTACGGTGTCACATGATTACGAGGCGGAATATTAAAACAAAAACGTGCACAAGCATTTTGCACTCTTTGTATAAGGTTAACTGTTTTGGAATATAATCTAGGGCCATAAACAACATCCATATAATTAAATTTAGAAAGGATCAGTGCATCAGTCAGTTTAATACGTAATTCCTTGCTAAGAAAATTTCTAATTTTATATAAAACTTTTAATCGATAGAAACAATTACGAACTATTTCACTCACATGTCTCTCATACCTTAGTTCTTCGTCCATTACAAGGCCCAGATTTCGTGCCTCCGAAACACGTTCTACTATATTGTCATTCAACACTATTTGCACATTTTGCAAGCCGATCCTACGAATCTGTTCCTTTGAACCGAGTATCATGTATTTCGTCTTACTTGCATTAAGAAATAAGCAATTCCTTCTAGCCCAAACAAAGATACTCTTGAGATCATCATTAATTTTTGTTATCGCCTCTCGTGTTTCGCTGGATTTGAAGGAGAGATAGATCTGCACATCATCTGCATAGATATGAAATTTGCAGTGCCTTACGACAGAAATTATATCAGCGCTGTAAAGAATAAATAAAAGGGGACCCAACACCGAACCCTGTGGAACGCCTCTTCCCAGCACTGCTTCATGGGAATATTTGGTGGTACCATCTTCTCCTGTCATCTCCACAATTTGTGATCTGCCGGAGAGATAAGAGTTAAACCATTTTATGGCATCACCGTCAAAACCGTAATATGACAACTTCGACAACAGTAGGGATATATTTAATGCATCAAAAGCTCTCGAAAAATCCAATAGTACTAACACTGTTCCCATTCCTTCATCCTGCGCTGCTAAAACAGAATCAGTTACATCCAACAGCGCAGTTGCAGTACCACGGTTCTTCCGAAATCCAGACTGTCTGTCCGGCAAAATGTTAAATGTCTCAAGATAATTTAAGAGCTGAGCAGCAATTGCCTTCTCTAGCACTTTTGATAGACAAGGCAAAATACTAATTGGACGCAAATCTTTAAAATCCATGGGGGCGGCAATTTTAGGTATCGGTTCAATTTTAGGTATATGTAGCTCTCCTCCATAAAGCAGGAAACGTAGATGTTTGAATTGATCTATTTATCAATTCCGTTATAATGTCCATAATACAAGGCAACGCCATAAGTAACATATCCAATGATATGCCGTCCACACCCAAAGCATTAGATTTTAATGTTTTTATTAATTTGTAAACTTCAGCCGTTCCCACGGGTCTCAATGTGAAAACACTGCCACCAAACCTATTGTATTCATAATATGTCAAAAGAGACATATCACAATCTACATTCCCATCGGAAACATTCAAGAAGTGATCATTTATGAGGTTAGGATCACCCAAGTGCATTGGAATTTCAGTACGTCGCGGCTGCATAATCTTAGATTTCAAATTAAGCCATAATTTTTTTGGATTGTTTACATTAATATTAATATTATGTCGAAAATAGCACGTTTTTTCTCTGCATAATGCCACTTCTACTTGCTTTTCAATTCCTTGTAGAATTGTTTGTGTGGTTCCAGATGAGACCGTCGATAACGCTTCAGCGCTGTAACCCGCAATTTCATCATCTGATTTATAGTATCAGTGAACCAAGGGGAGGCTGTTCCCTAAAACACATTGTTTTCAGAGGCGCATGTAGGTCGAAAGGATTTCTTCTTTTAAAAAATGTGAAACATTTGAATATCGACTTTCAATTGTTTTTGTTATTCAACTTAGACAAGAAATAAGGATACTGCGAAAATTTGAGTGATTTTTGAACCTAAAGTAAAACTTACCAATAACATGGTAATGGTAACTGTTTGGTAGTCTCAGCATGGTGTTAATCACTATAGTTTTCTCCGATCTGGTCAAGTAATAACGGCAGATGTCTATTGTGCCGAACTCCGAACAATGTTGGCAAAACTAGCAGTAAAATAGCCCCGACTCTTGAATCGATCTTCACCATTATTGCTCCATGACAACGCGAGACCTCATACAGCACGAGAAACAGTTTTGACCCTTCAGGAACTGCAGTTAGAAGCCATTCGTCATCCTCCGTATTCGCCAGACAGACGGGATCAGAACTTTTTTTTATTATTTTATCTATTACCCCAAAATTCAAAATTGTCATATTTTGTTATTGTTTCTTCACGTGTAAAGACCACAAACGTGACATTGGCGGAATTGTGTAAACGCAAATAGGCCATGAATTAAAGAGTTTTTTTTTACATTCATGTCATGTATAAATTCAATTCAATTTTATGGTCGTATCATAATGGAAATTCAAACCAAATTATTAAGAGTTCAATATTTATTTCTAAACAGCTATTTGAAAAGATATTTGAATAATAATATAGCTGATATTACTAAAATCCATAGAGATATTTATACAAGAAGATATCCAACTAAGGTAGTAAAAGCCGATGGTTCTTCGATAGATGTTAGATATCATGAGCCGAGAAAAATTATAAAGGTATGTTAACATTAACCATGTACTACAGTACGTATTTCACGATATAAGCATTGATTTCCTTTGAAACGACTTTGGCCGGCAACAAAGAGATATTAATAGGTTCGTAGGCCTGAAAGATCCCTATACAAGTTTGTCCCTTGTCTCAGCAATGCCTCTATCTTTGAGTAGTAACAACGCTAACTAGGTGAAGGTGTCTCATTATTGGCCAGAACTAACTTTTATGATTCATAAAGCAAGCAACATAAAGAGCATATTTGAATAGGCAAAATTTCAAATTACGAAAGGTGAATAATAAAAAGAAATGATGTTGAATATCAGAGACAAAAAGTTTGCATACGGAAACCTAGGACGAAATAAACGGTGGTATGGCACACTGTTACACTGTTATATCATCACATGTTTATCAATGTTTATGCTCAGATTCTCAATTTAAATGATTTCCCAAGCCCATGTAATATTCTCATGAATGATAATACATTTCTAAAATGTGGTGCCAGCCATTTGCAGCTATGGTTGAAAATATATAAGATATCCTGGAGTTGTCTTAGTTGCTCTTTATTTCTTTTATTAACTCAAAATGTGTATAGTTGAAATGTGTGTTAAACTTTGTAATAATTTCAGCTGCCACTAGATTTATCACTTTTATCTGAGGATGAGAGAAGAATTAGATTAGAGAAAAGAAAACCAAAGAAAAAAGTAAAGATTTCTGATGATTTAGAAGATAATTTCAATGCCAAGAAATATTTAAAATATTTGAAGAAATGAATATTGATTTGTCTATAAAGTAGATATCTTGTTGTTAGTAATAAAACATATATACATATTAGTTGTTTTATTAAAACAAAAGAATATATCGACGCTGGAAAGCAGACACGTAGTAACCCGCAAAACCAAAATTGTTCTTCGGACCGGAAAAACTTTTATTTTTTTCGATTAATAATTCCTATAAACATGCATGGTAACAAATAAGGTGTTCCTTAGTCAATTTATACGGAAACGAGTTTTTTTTTTTCGGAAAATATGAAGATTTTCCACTCTAAATATCCATTTTGGTTTTGCTGGTTACTACGTGTTTGCTTTCCAGCGTCGATATGATAGCAGTTTGGTAAATTCTCAGAATAAAAACTAAGGTAAAAAAAAGATGATAGACCTATGGTTCATATTAAATTTTTGAATGAGTCAACCAGTCTACCATCGGATATGCATAAAAACTGGGATTATGTACTTCTGCATATGTATTCATATGATTTTGAACTTGACTACAAAACAATGTTTCAATGTTAAAAATCAAGTAGAGAAATATATATTTAACAAATTGCTTGCCGTGCAGCAATGTGTATTCTGTGTATTTGCTATGGTTTTTCTGCACAAAACATTAAAAAACCCATAAATAACTTAGAACACCAACTTTTTTGTGCAAATATAATTTTTATTACTTCTTTTGCAACTAAAATTCTGTTATAGGCTGTATGAAATAAAATACTATGATTTTAATAGAATAGAGAAAATAAACTGTAACGTCTTTTAGGGATTAGTAAAACTGATATATTTTTGAATTTTTTGAATCGGTATGCTAATCGATTTAAAATTGTTACATTAGGTAAAACCCATATGTAAATAAATTCTAAAATAGTAGAGCTGACCTAATTGCTAAATTAACATTAACAATATTTTTCTTAATGGAAAATGCTTAAAAAATCCACTTTGCCCCTTGCACTTGAGATGTGATGCGAACCCATGACCTTTCGCAACCTAAGCGACTGCTCCAACTACTGAGCTACCCAGGAACTAATAGGAGGTTGTCCAAATTTCAATATTCAACGGTTAACGTTGACATGTGACGTTAGTGACATCTGTGAACGTGTTAAAAATAAAGGTTGAATACCGATACGTCCAGTCATAGAGAAATGATTTTGGTTGCTATGTTATTGTTTTATTTTTTATTTTTTTTAATTTTCTCTGTCATTAAGGATTATATTATTTTTATTAATAAAATACTTTATACGTTTACTCCACAATCCTTTATTTGCTACATTGTATATTTCCACAAAAACAACAGGTTATGGGCCCAGGCCCTATGTAGTTTTTCAGGAAAGTGGAGTGAATAAAACGTTAGAATCATGCAGAAAGAGTCAGTCATAACAAAACTAAAAGGCCATTCCAACTATGGAACATGGTCATTCGCTATGCAAATGATCCTAGTGGAACATGATTTATGGAATTGCGTAGAGGAAGAAATTATTGTTTTAAAGCACGGGCCAAAATATGCCTGAGCGTTGAGGAGAAAATTTACCCACTAATTGCTGAAGCAAAAAATGCTAAAGAAACTTGGTTAGCACTAAAGAGAGCATATGCGGATGCAGGTTTGGTGCGTCGATTAACATTACTTAGAAAATTGTTCAGCGTGAAACTAGAGAGCTACCCTAGTATGGAAGCGTACGTTACAGATATCCAAGCGACACATCAAGCACTCGTAACGATTAAAGCTGGTTTGGATGATGAATTTCTAAGTATAATAATGTTAGCTGGTTTGACAGATTCGTATAATCCGCTAGTGATGGCTTTGGAACATTCAGGAACAAAAATTTCGTCTGAGACCGTAATCGCCGCAATACTTAAAGAAGGGCAGCGACAAAGTCAACCAACGTATAGTGGGATGAATGAAAACAAGGACGAATCGGTACTAGTGTCGAGTTCTAATGACAAAAAGAAAATACAAAAACCTATAATTTGTTATTGTTGTAAAAAGAAAGGGCATTATAAGTCTCAATGTAAAAAATTGAAAAATAATATTGATGTTCAGCCGAAATCTTGTCTTGCAAATGACAACTCTGAGGAGTTTGTAACCTTTTTAACTAGTAATTATGAAAGTAATGATAGATGGGTTATAGATTCTGGTGCTACGTCCCACATGACATCAAATGAACACATTTTGAAATCAGAAAAATCTTGTGCAAAATTTATTACCTGTGCAAATAAAGACAAAATTGTTTCAAACAAACAAGGAACTGTTGATTTGAAGATTAATCACGAGGGACGTACCACAGATGTGAAAATGAGTAATGTATTGCTTATCCCTGAGTTATTAACTAATTTGATTTCAGTAAGCAAGATTGCTGAAAGTGGTAAGGTTATTATTTTTGATAAAAAGTGTTGTAAAGTTTTTAATGATACTGTTAATGTTATAGGTAAACCTCTTTTTACAGCACCACGCAAAAACGGGTTTTATGTATTAGGTCCGGATAATAACAAGTTTCCGACAGTTCTTTTAGGTGATAGCAGTCGTAGTCAGGATGACTATGAGTTGTGGCACAGGAGGTTAGGTCATTTATCTTATCCTCAGATGAACAAACTAAAAGGTATGATTAAGGATATTAATTTTGGGAAGGTTGATAACAAAGTTCATTGTGTGGCCTGCAGCCAGGGAAAGCAGTGTGCAAAGAAATTTCCACATCGAAAGAAATGTAAGCGAGCAAACGATTTGCTTGAACTAGTACATAGTGATGTTGCCGGTCCAATTGAAACAGAGTCATGGGGAGGTGCAAAATATTTTCTGATCTTTGTTGACGACTACAGTAGAAAAGTTTTCTGTTATATGTTGACATCGAAGAAAGAAGTATTCAAATGTTTTCGTGATTTTAAAGCTTTTGTGGAAAATCAAACTTCAAAGAAAATTAAAAAATTTAGATCTGATAATGGTACAGAGTATACCAATAAGGAATTTCAATCTTTTTTAAAGAAATATGGAATTCAGCATCAGACATCTGTTCCACATACTCCAGCTCAAAACGGAGTAGCTGAGAGGACTATTAGGACGATCACAGAGAAAGCACGTTGTATGCTTCATGACAGTGGTCTAAATAAAAAGTTCTGGGGTGAAGCTGTCAACACAGCCGTTTATTTGAAAAATCGATCCCCAACAATGGCTTTAAAAGACAAGGTTCCTGAAGAGGTGTGGTTAGGTCAACAAGTAGATTTATCGTATCTGAAAGTTTTTGGATCTATTGCACAAGTCCTAGTGAAGGATGGCAGTAGAAAGAAGTTTGATGCCAAGACTCGCGAATTAATTTTTACGGGATACAGTGAAGCACAGAAAGCCTACAGATTTATTGATTTAAATAATCCAAAAAGGATTATCATCGGTCGAGATGCAGTCTTTAATGAAAAGTTACAAAATCCCTCGGTCAGTGATCTCAAACCTGAGGAAGTTATCAAGCAGCCTACTTCTGATAAATGTACAAAAGAAGTTTCTCAAGCCGAGAAAGAAGTTGCCCAAGGAGGACTTTATTGGGATTATCGCGAAGAGGACAGAGTGTCTTCTGCTACCAACGTCTGTGATGATGAAGTCGGAGAGGTAATAAGATCAGAAACAGAAAGTCAAGGCGTAAGTAATATACGGTCAGATACTTTTGAAGCTCAAGACGAAATGAGTAGTCAACAAGATTCTGAAATAGAAGAAACTAGTGAAGTTTCGCCAAATAGAAGATATCCCTTACGAATACGTACTCCAAAGAGATATGATGATATGGAATACAATTTTCTAGTCTCAACTAATGGAGATCCTGTTTCTGTAAAGGATGCAATGAAGCGCTCAGATAAGACGCTGTGGAGGAAAGCAATGGAAGAAGAATATAATTCCCTTATAGAGAATGGCACTTGGAATTTAGTTGACCGTCCTTGTGGGACTAATGTGGTTAAATGTAAGTGGTTATTTAAACTCAAAATAGGAGCGGATGGTGTAGTTCAGCGACATAAGGCGAGATTAGTTGCCAAGGGTTATTCCCAAAAATGGGGAGAAGATTATTTCGAAACCTTTGCACCAGTAGTCAAGCTTTCGTCAATCAGGATGTTGTTTGCTTTATCTGTTGAGAAAGACCTCAAGGTACATCATATTGATGTTACTACAGCCTTCTTAAATGGTGACCTCGAGGAAGATCTTTACATGGAGCAACCAGAAACCTTTGTAAAGAAGGGAAATGAGCAAAAGGTATGTAAGCTCAAGAAAGCCATATATGGATTGAAACAAGCAGCTCGATGCTGGAATGTCAAAGTAGATGCTCACATTGTTAAGTTCGGCTTCAAGAGGTCAAATTATGATTCTTGTGTATATATTAAAAGAAGTAAGAATAATTTTACAGCTATTGCTCTGTACGTAGACGATTTTTATATTTTTGGCAGTTCACAACAAGTTGTTGATCAAGTTAAGGATCACATAAGATTAGGTTTCAAGATTAAGGATTTGGGTGAGGCTAAAGAATGTCTGGGTATGCAAATCACGAAATCAGAAAACTTGAAAGAAATTCATTTGAATCAGACTAATTTTGCTAAAAAGATATTAGAACGATTTGGTATGGAAGATTGCAAACCTGTTGCGACACCATTGGCAATGAATTTGAAGTTAGAAAAGGGTGACATAAATCATGATCCCAGCTATCAAGAAATCATTGGGTCCTTGATGTATCTTGCTTTGGGTACAAGACCAGATATTGCTTTTGTTGTAAGTTATCTCAGTCAATTCAACAACTTCTGGAACACAACTCATATGTCAGCATTAAAACGTGTTTTACGGTACGTCAAAGGCACAATGAATAATGTTTTAATATATAAGAAAACTGGAAAACCGTTATGTGCTTTTTGTGATGCAGATTGGGGTAAAAATGAAGATGGTCATTCGTTTACGGGATATATGCTTGTTTTAGGTGGCGCTGTAATAGCATGGCAGGCACGTAAACAGCGATGCGTTGCATTAAGCTCAGCAGAAGCTGAGTATATCGCTGCTTGCGAGGCTGCTAAACATATTATATCTGTGAAAGGTTTA